TCAGTTTCCTGGGTAGCTGGCACTACAGGCACATACCACTACACCCAGCTAAACTGGCCTTTTTTCCCTCCATCCGCAGGCCCTACCTCTTTTTTGTTTCTTTTTGAGACAAAATCTTGCTGCTAAGTCACAGAATTGCCCAGGTTGGGCTTGATTTGCAATTCTTTTGCGTCAGCCTCTCAGAGGCTGGGATTACAGGGGTGTACTCCCGCACCTGGCTGCTGGATTCCTTACTGGCTTACATGGGCTTCAGCACGTGATTTAACCCTCCCCACCTCCCCCACACCACCCCCCAGCCAGGCTCCCGGCTGAGACGAGGTTTCGGGTGCGCACGTGCATGTGTGCACCCTGTACCCCGGGCCGCCAGATGGTGCTTCTGTAATTGTCACCCGTTCACTCCTGGGCCCCACCTATCTCTTTATGGCTCTGCATTTTGTCCTCTGCACAGCTCGAAGCTAGGTAGACAGAGGCAGTGCCTTTTCCTCTGCGGCTCACAGCTCGGCGGTCCGGCCCAGCAGTCTCAGCTGCTCTGCGCCCGCTCGCCCCAATCCTCAGCGCTCCTGTGCCCCTGCCTTGTCTCTAGGTGACTACGAGCTGGATGTCTCCCCGTACGAGGACACGGTGACCAGCAAGCCCTGGAAGATGCACCTCAGCAAGCTGAACATGCTCAGACCAGGTGCCAAGGGCCGGGCGGGCGGGTGAAGGGAGAGCCACCGGAAAACAGCAGCAGCAGGCGCTTGAGGGGGGCCCATTAGGACGCCCCGGCCCCCAGAAAGGGTCAGGCAGGCGTGGCAGCAGTCTCAGAAAAATGTGCTGAAATGGAGCGGTAATGCTCAGTCTAGGCAGCCGGGAAAGTAGATTATTTTTTTTTTTTCCCCTAAAGACTAGAAAATTGCTTGTTTCCAGCAGTTCTAATGGAATGGGTGAGGTGTTGGGCAGAGTAAATAGGGTGAGTGTGACAGGGTGGGGAGCCATTGGGCTGGCAAGAACTTTGATGCGTGGTTTTTTTCAGAGTAGGGCAGTGAGTTCATTAAGAAAGCAACACACAATTTTTTAAAAAATACCTGAGTTTCATTGTATAGTCAGTTCTATCTATTAGAATTAGAACTTTGAGGAAAAACCAGAGATTTAGTCGGGCGTGGTGGTGCACGCCTGGAATCCCAACTCCTCAGAGGCTGAAGCAGGAGGATCGCTGAAAGTTGAAGTTCAGCATTGGCTACATAGTGAGTTCAAGGCTAATCTGCACTACAGTGTGAGACTCTGTCTCAAATAACAAAACATAAAACAATCAAGACTAGGACGGGCCTTGTTCAGTCAGAGCTTCGCCAGGGCCACCGGGAAGCCTAGCTGCAGCTACAGTGTAGCGAGAGGACGGCCTGGTGACGCAGTGCCCCTCTCCCCACAGACTCGGACATCTGCCTCAAGTTCGCGATGCTATGCACCCTCCACGACAAGTGCGACCGGCTGCGCAGGGCCTATGGGGAGGCGTGCTCTGGGACGCACTGCCAGCGGCACGTGTGCCTGCAGCAGCTGCGCGCCTTCTTCGAGAGGGCGGAGGAGCCGCACGTGCAGGGCCTGCTGCTGTGCCCGTGCGCGCCCACCGACCGCGGCTGCGGGGAGCGCAGGCGCAACACCATCGCGCCCGCCTGCGCGCTGCCCTCGGCGGCCCCCAACTGTCTGGACCTGCACGGCCTCTGTGTGGGCGACCCGCTGTGCAGGTGGGCCATGCGGCCACAGGGTGGGAGGGGCGAGGCTTGCGCTTCTCCGGGCCACCTTCTCCATGGTTTGGCTCTAAGACTCGGGGATCGCTGAACCCACCAGCTGTTTCGACTTGGATATTTTGGAAAAATTTAAAAAAAAAAAAAGTATGTATTTTGGCCTGGCAGATGGCACACACCTATAATTCCAGCACTGTGGGTGGCTGAGGCAGGAAGATCACACATTCGAGGTCAACCTGGCATTTTAGCCATTAAACAAGACCCTGGCTCAAAATAGATAAAAATTTTTAAAAGAGTGCAAGGTCCTGAGTTCAATTCCTGATACCAAAAAAAAAAAAAAAAGAAAAGAAAGAAATAGGGCTGGGGAGATAGCTCAGTGCAAAGGCAAAGTACCTTCCTCCAGCACCCCCACCCCAAGTAAACAAAAACTTTCAGCCTAGGTGGTGCTGCATGCCTGTGATCCCAGCACTCTGAGAGGCTGAGGCAGGAGGATTCCCATAAGTTCAAGGCCAGCATGGGCTACATAGTTCAAGACCAGCCTAAACCACAAAGTGAGACCTTGCGGCCCCACCCCCACCCCCACCCCCCAAAAAAACCAAAAAACTTTCAGAAGTCTATCGTGGTGGCCCACACCTGTAATCCCAGCCCTTGGGAGGCTGACCCAGGAAGACTGTTGAGAGTTCGAGGCCAGCCTGCACTACATATTGAGACCCTGTCTCAAAAAAAACAAACAAAAAACCTTCAGAAAATATAAAAATATGTATAGATATCACTCAACATTTCCTTACCTGGGTATAATTTACCATATTTTGCTGAGCATTTACTGCTAGTCCTTTTTCTATTCAGATAACAAAAGTAGACATTCTGAGGATATATTTGTGTCTTTCTGTTGTTTTCTGAGACAGGGTCTCACTGTGCAGCCCAGGCTGGCCTTGAACTCACAGTGATACTCAGCTCAGCCTCCCAAGTGCTGGGATTGCAGGCATGTGCCACCAGGCCCTGCTATGTCCTGATTTGTTTCCTTTTCACTTTGGTACAGTGCTAAGACAGGCTTTAAAATGTGTTAGCTTTCTGCTGCTGTGACAAAACACCTGAGCAGCTTCAAGCAGGCGTGGTCTATTCAGTTGTGGTTAACTGGCTGCATTGCTTGCATTTATTTATGTATTTATTTATGTATTTTTGTTTTTTTGAGGCTGGGTCTCACTATGTAGTCCAGGCTGGCCTCTAACATCCAGTAATCCTCCTGCCTCAGCCTCCCAGGTGCTGGGATGACAGGTGTGTGCCACCACGTGTGGCTTCCATTGCTTTTAGGCCTGTGGTGAGGTAGACATTCTGGTGGAAGCGTGCGGCAAGAGGACCTGCTCACCTCATGGCAACTAGGAAACGGAGAACGAGAGACCCCAGAAGAGGTTGGGGACAGGGTTCACTCCCTTCAAGTCGGCCCCACTTGCTATTTCTGTCACCTCCTAAGACTAGCCCAGAACTGGAGCTCACAGGGTGAATCCTCCAGTGAAGCCAGAATCTTCCAAAATCCCATCAGGAACTATGCCTTCAGCACAGGGGATGGGGGGTGGGGTGGGGGCATTTGGATCCAGCCACATTATGGAGTCCAATGGATGTGGATTTCAGTCCTGGGCTTGTGTAGTATTGAGCACATCACTGAGACTAACGTTCAGCTTAGTTGTCTGCAAAAACTGGGATAATGATATAGATCCCATGGGATTCTGGGCGGAATTAAATTACTTGTGTAGATTGCTTAGCTTACTGGGGCAGAGTAAGTGCTCAGTAAATGGTGGTACTTATTTTGTAATTTATTGTCCCTTAAGAACTTGATTTTTTGCCAGGCATGGTGTCACACACCTGTAATCCCAGCACTCAGGAGGCTGAGGCAGGAGGATCCTTGCAAGTTTGAGGCCAGCCTGGGCTACAAAGTGAGCTCAAGGCCACCCTGAACTGCATATCAAGACCCTGTCTCAGACAAAAAAAAAAAAACTTGATTTTTTGCTGGGGATAATGGCACAGGCCTGTAATCCCAGCTATACCCTTGATTTGAGTTTCATTTACTATATTTTCTAGAGCTGAGAATCAAACCCAGGGCCTCATACATGCTAGATATGTACTATACCACTGAGCTATAACCGAACCCCAAGATCTTTTTTTGTTGTTCTTTAAAACAGGGTCTTCTGGCTCACACCAGTAATCCCAGCACTCGGGAGGCTGAGGCAGGAGGATCGTTGTGAGTTCAAGACCAGCCTAGGCTACAAAGTGAGCTCAAGGCTGAATTGCATAGCGAGACCCTGTCCCCAAAAGACCAAAAAACAAACAACTACAACAACAAGAAAAAGACAGGGTCTCAATATGTAGTTCAGGCTGGCCTTGAACTCACTATGAACCAAATGCTGGCCTCAAACTCATGGTGATCCTCCTGCCTCAGCCTGCCAAGTGGTGGGATAACAGGTGTGGATCATCATCCCCAGCAATTTTGCTCTTTAAATGCCTGCATTATGTTCCACTGATGGATACCCCACACTTCACTTAACCATTCTAATATTGGATATTTAGGTTGTTTTCTTTATTGCTCTAAATAATGCTACAATAATTTGCAATATCACTCTTATTCCTTTTCATTTTTCTTTTCCCAGTACTAGGGATTAAACCCAAGGAATGTCTTGCCACTTATTTATTATTTAGGTCCTTTTTTTCAGTGCTAGAGATAGAACCCAGAGCTTTGTGCATGCTAGGCAGGTGCTCTCCCACTGAGCTACATCCCCAACTATTTCTGATCTTTTAAGACAGGATCTCTTTACGTAGTCCAGCTGGCCTTGAACTCACTGTGTAGTCGAGGCTGGCCTTGGATTTACAGTGATCCTCCTGCTTCAGCCTCCTGAGTAATGGGATTAGGAGTGCACCACCATGCCTGGTGTTCTCTATTTAGTAGTCAAGGAAGCAGGTGCAAGGAGCTGCCTGCCATCTCCTAACTAGGGATTGTGGAGCCCAGGTTCAGAGAGATGTGTGCAGGGTGGTGACGGTACATTTGATTGTGATGGGCGGCTTCACCGAGAAGCAGGCCCTGGGCTGGGTGCTGAAGGACGGAGAGGAGTTGGCACAAAAATGGGCAGCGAGGGTGATGGCTGCAGGCCACATCTTCACTGGGGACTCTTGAGATTTCCCTTCTTCCAGATCCCGCCTGGCAGATTTCCAGACCCACTGCCACCCCAGGGACATCCTGGGGACTTGTGCGACAGAGCAGTCCCGATGTCTGCGCGCGTACCTGGGGCTGATCGGTAAGGCTCCGCGTGCAGGGGGCAGGAGGAGGACCGCGCTGGGGGACTGAGTGCTGGGGTGCTGAGGCCCTGCCACGGCGGGGACAGGGCGGGAGCTGAAGTCAGAGTTTGCCCGGACCCTGACAGCCCCTTCTGCTCTCCACCCACAGGCACTGCCATGACCCCCAACTTTGTCAGCAGCATCAACACCAGCGTGGCCTTGAGCTGCACCTGCCGAGGCAGCGGCAACCTGCAGGAGGAGTGCGAGCAGCTGCAGAGGTCCTTCTCCCACAACCCCTGCCTCGGTGTGTGAGCCTCCTTCTGGGCTGCCCGCCTCCTTCATCCCCGCGGCCCTCTTCATGGCCCAGGCTGCCATCTTCCCGGTCTAGGGCTTTCCTCCTCTTCAGCTCCCTGAGTGGCCCCCACGCTGCCTGTTCAACCTGCCTGGGCTCAGGAACAGCTCCAGCTTGAGGAGTGAGCAAGTGAGCAGAAGGAGGCAGTATCCTCTCCCAACTCCCACCTGCCTGCTCCTCTCCACACCCCAAGCGCCCCCCTTTTCCTGTCCTGGGAGACTTAGAAATCTCCTGGCGAGCAGCTGTGGTGACACATGCCTGTGATTCAGTCATGTAGGAGGCTGAGGCAGGGGGATCACTGCAAGTGTGAGCCAGCCTGGGCTACATAGGGAGACCCTGTCTCAAAAAAATCTATTGCCACCATACCCTTCTAATCTGTCTTCTGCCCTCTGTTCAGTGGAGACCATTACAGCTAAGATGCGTGTCCACAAGCAACTCTTCTTCCCGGACGCAGTAGCCCCTGTCTTTCCTGTGATGGAACACCAGGTAGCGCCTCCTCTGTAACTGTGCCAGCTGGGGAAACCCCAACCAAATAGACAAGGGATGGGGGCGGGTAAGGGGGTCACTTCCTGTTTCTACAAATACTAGGGATGACTAAGGGACTCCTCAGGGGAAGGGCCAGTCTCAGAGGCTGAGGAGTTGAAGAACAGAGATGGTTTCCTAAGCTGACTTTGTTCCATTTCTTCCACAGAATAAAAACCCTGCTCTGAGGCCACAGCCCTGGGTGCCCTTTCTTTTCTCCTGCTCACTTCCCTTGGTTCTGTGCTGCAGCCTCTGGTAGCCAGACTTCCCCGGGGACCACTTTCACTCTACAGCAGCCAGCCTGGCTTGCAGCCTTCGAGGGGTGTGGCGAGGACAGCGCCTGGGAGGAGGTGCACACACAGTATGGCCAGCTCACCGCCTGGCACCCTGTCCTGGGCATCTGGTCAGCTCCAGACGAGGCCGTGGGAGAGGCCTGGGACCTCCGGATCTGGACTGGCTGGCTCTCCTTCCTTCACCCTTACCCTGCTTCACATTCAGGCTTCCCCTCCTTAAGACTTGGGGACCACCATTTAAGCATTTCTTCTGAGGGTGAGCAGCTCTGCCAAGGTCTCTCCCAATGCCTCTCCCCTGCCCACCAGGGTGGCCCAAGTCTCACACTTGAGTCATTCTCTGGAGCAGACTGTAGGCTGGCAAGGCTGGGAGTTGTAAGGCAGCCTAGCAAGACTTCCCTTGTGCCCCACGCCCTCCTGTGAACAGAGGATGGGAACTCACTGCCTCCGCTGCTCTGCCTGAGTCCCACAGGTCACTGGGGCATCAGAAGCAGAAATCTTTGGGCCTTGCTTGCTTTCTTCTTCTGTTCAAATTCACCCTGAGTTCTTGGATCATAATTAAACATTTTGACCTAAGTCTCTGCTCTTTTCCCATTTTCTCAGATTGTGAATTTTTGTAGAGTTAAGGGTGTTACAGACACAAGGACGGAGTTCAGGTAATGGAGAGACATAGCCACCCCACCACCAACTGCTCTGCGACTTCACACAAGTCCCTCCACCTCTGTGTGCGTTTTGTGGATTGGGAAGAAAGCATTGCATCAGTGGGCCGTAGACCTGGTGTCCGCATAGCTCTGGTCGTTTCTGGGATCTGCCAAGGCATCCAGGGGCATTTACTGAGCACCTGCTCATGTTACTGATCTGCTCCAGTCCATAATGGGGGCCAGAGGAAAGCAGAGGCTGCAGGGAACTTGGAACCCTATCAGAATAATGAAAACACCCATCCAGGCAAAGTAGTTGGAAGAACATATTGATAGATGCTAGGCGTGCTGGCATTTACCTTCAATCCCAGCTTCTTGGGGGGCTGAGGCAGGAAAATCTCAAGTTTTGGGCCATCTGAGGCAATTTAACAAGACCCTGTCTCAAAATAAAATTGCTAAAAGGGCTGGACGGCTAGGTGTGTGGTGCATGCCTATAATCTCAGCACTCAGGAAGTTCAGGCAGGATTGCTGCAGGTTCAAGGGGAGCTTGGGCTACATAGTGAGTTCAAGACCAGTCTGAACTACAAAGCAAGATCCTGTCTCAGTAAAATTAAAATAAAATAGCTGGGATATAGCCCAGTGGTAGAGCCTGTTTCTAGCATGAGCTAGGCCCTAGATTCAAAACAACTATTGAAAAAAAATGCATATGTAGAGCTGTGGGTATTTGTGTATTATTAATTCACTCTCTTATCAATAAGCATCTGATAAGTGCTGGGTGCTGAAGGTTCTGAGGTTATTAGACTCAGATCCTAGTCTCAAATCTTTCATACGTCAGTGCAGGGAAATAGACAAGACAGCCAATAAAAGCACTACCACATGATAATGCTGCACTAATGATAAAAACACCCCTCATTTATTTAGCCTCTACCTACATGTGCTGTGTACTCCTTGCATCTACTCTTTGCAAGAACACAAGTTAATCTTCCAGTAACACCTGACCATCCATCATGAGCTGTAAGATCTTGGGTTTGACCTCTCTGAACTTTGGTATTCACATATGTGACCTACACAAACACAGGACCCACCTCAGCAGGGGGCAATGAGTCATGTCAAAGCATTTTTCCTGGGGCTGGGGATTTAGCTCAGCGGCAAAGCACCTGCCTAGCAAGCTCAAGGTCGTGAGTTCAATTCCTGGTACCAGAAGAAAAACAAAAAACAACAACAACAAAGCATTGTTCCTGACAGAGCTCAAAAAACTGAACGGTAATGGTCTATCACTTTTGTAGTGAATTTGGACAGTATAATCCTCAAGAAGAGACTGACGGGAATATAGCTCAGTGGCACAAGCACCTGCCTGGCAAGTGTAAGGTCCTGAGTTTGATTCCCGGTACAAAAAAAAAAAAGAATTCCTTGTCTCTAATCCTCAAGAAAAGAGCAAAATCTTTAAAATCCCAATCCCACTATGAGAATCTTAGGGCGTGTTTAATTTTACACAAGTGGGGTGTTAGATTTTCATCACTGTGACAAAATACCTGATGTAATCTAAAAGGAGGAAATTTTTCTGTCTCTTTGAGCAGGGGTCTGTCTAGCTATATAGTTCAGGCTGCCCTTGAACTCACAGTGATCCTCCTGTCTCAGCCTGCTGAGTTCTGGGATTACAGCTGTCCACCACCATGCCCAGCAAGGAAGAAAGAATTTAGTTCATGGTTTCAGAGGTCTCAGTCCATGGTCTGTTGGTTCCATTCCTGTGGGCTGAGCTGAAGTTCTATACATGGAGGGAGGGTTACAGAAGCAACTGTGCACACCTCATGTCAGCCAGGAAGCAGAGAAAGACAGCCAGAGAGGAACGGGAGGGAATAAAACATGCTCTTCAAGTCAAGCTCCTGTGACCTGCTTCACCCACTCAGGTCCCGCATCCTAACAAGTCCACTGAGCTAGGAAATCATGGACTGAGGAATCCACTGATGAAGTTAGACTTGTGACTGCACCACTTCCCCAAAACCACCTCTGAACACTGCTCAGTTGTCTTTCTGTTGCTCAGGACACAGTAGCATACTTTGGGTAAGTTCTAAAGAGGAGTCCGTAGCAAGATTCTGTCTTAAAAAAAAAGTGGGTTCTTTTTTTGTTGTTTGTTTTTGAGACACAGTCTCACTATGTAGTACAGGCCGGCCTTGAATTAGCAGCAATCCTCCTGCCTCAGTCTCCCAAGTGCTGGGATTATAGGGGTGCTCCACCACACCTAGCTCAAAAAAAAAGAAAAGAGGTTTATCTTGTTACCTTGGATCATGATTCTGGTCCAAGGCTGAGGGGATGCATCTGGTGATGGTCTTGTTGGCACCATCCCACAGTAGAGGAAGGTATCACAAAGCAAAAGAGACCAAGTGCACAAGTGTTTAGCTTAGAAAACCACCAGGATTCAATCATAGGGCTCCACCCTGATGACCTTATCTAATCATAATCACCTCCCCAAACCTAAAACGGCATTTTTTTTTTTTTTTTTTTTTTTTTTGAGACAGGGTCTTGCTCTGCAGTCCAGGCTGGTCTCCAGCTTACTATGTGGCCCAGGCTGGCCTGAAACTTGCAGTGATTCTCCCGTTTCAGCCGCCTGAATGCTAAAATTACAGATGTGCATCACTATGCCTGGAAAAGCTGCCTCTCTTTTCTTTCTATCCTTCCTTTTTTTTTTTTAGAGAGAGGGTCTTGCTCTGTAATTCAGGGTGGTCTTGAGCTCACCACAAGCCTCCTGCTTCAGCCTCCTGAGTGCTGGGATTACAGTCCTGTGCTACCATACCTGGCACAGGCCAAATTTATAAACACCAAAATGGAATTAAATTTCCAGTCTTAAAATAACCCCCGGGGCCGGGGATTTAGCTCAGCGGCACAGCGCCTGCCTGGCAAGCTCGAGGTCTTGAGTTCAATTCCTGGTACCAGGGGAAAATAAAAAACAACTAAAATAACCCCCAACCTGAGTCTCCACAGGGACAAACCATATTTTCTGAGCCGAGATGAAGGCGGTTAGGGAAGCCACTGGGGAGAGGCACTGTGTAAGAGCAGCGGGAGTGGCGGGTGGGGCAGGCCCACCTCTGCAGCGTTCTGCGTTGCACCCAGCCCCAGCCTCCTCGGAAGTTCCAGGGGGCACCCGGCCCACTTCCTCCCCCACCCCTGCCAGGAAGACCCCAGCGGTCAAGGGCCCTGCCTTGGCCGTGGCTCCATTAGCCTGGGACTGGGGTGTGAACAATACAGTCATCCTCGCTAAGTGCTTGAATTAAACTAATAGTCCTCTGCGCCAGCTCTGAAGAAGGTCCAAATTCCTGGTAAGCAACCAGACCACGCTCCCAGCCCGGGCCAAGAGCCAAGATCAGGGTGCGGGGCAGTGGCTGGGCGACCCCTGTTAACAGTCTCCGGCTGGCTGGGATGGTGAGTGCTGCTGGACCAACTTCTGGGGAACCAGGCGGCAAGGGCCCACAGCAGCCCTGAAGAATGCTCACTGTCCAGGTGGAGCAGGCGGCTTTTTAAATAACTGTCTCCAGCCGGGCGTGGTGGCGCACGCCTGTAATCCCAGCACTTGGGAGGCTGAGGCAGGAGGATCGTTGCAAGTTTGAGACCAGCCTGGGCTACAAAGTGAGCTCAAGGCCAGCCTGAATTGCATAGTAGGACTCTGTCTCAAAAAGACAAAAAAAGAAAAAAAAAAAAAACAAAGAAAAACTCTCCAAATTCACCCATTCAATCGTTCATTTATTCAGCAAACCTTTAGCAAGCACTTGCCCTGTGCCTATCCTGCAGTATTTTTTAGAAAAGACACGCTCTTCCTGCCCATTTATTAGTAACCATGCCAAGTAAGAAACAGCCCAGGATTCTGGCAACTGGACCCCAAGTTGGGCAGTGAGAACTCTTCACTTACCTTGGTGGATTTTTCTTTTTAGATTTTTGAGACAGCAGCTCACTGTGTAGCCCAGGCTGGCTTTGAATTAGCAGCCATCTTCCTGCCTCAGCTTCCTGAGTGCTGGGATTATAGGTGTGTATCCCGATGCCTGGGTTAAACCCGGCATTTTGTTTACCTGTCTGAGCCCGTGTTTTCTCTTCTACAGTGGAGGTGCCGATAGAATACATGATCTAGAGGTCGCATTTTTTGTTTTGCAATTGTATTTCTAACAAATCCAGCTCAGCAATTAATGTCAGCCCAAAAAATAAAAACTTAGCTGGCAATGCCAAATACCAATTTTAATAGTTTTTGTTGGCAAGTTTTGAACTTCCTATTTCTATAGATGCTTGTAAGCGCCAGTCATTTCTACTTATATTTAATTTAGATAATAGCAAAAATATTTAAAAGCGATTCACAGTCGTTCTGAGGACTGGAGATTATTCTAACACTTAGCACAGCACCCGATACAGGATGAACAGTCAGTAAATAGCAGCAGCCATTACTGCTAGGAGGACCTCTTCAGGTAGCACACATTCTGTTCTCTATCCTGGAGCAGCGTAGGGTGACAGTGCCAACGCCCTTTTCAACTGTGGGTTGAATTCTGAGTGGATCACTGGGCATGGTGCACGCCTGTAATCCTAGCACTCAGAAGAAGGCTGAGGCAGGAGCATCACTTCAAGTTTGAGGATAGCCTGGGCTACACAGTGAGATGCTGACAAAAAAAAAAAAAGAAAGAAAGAAAGCTCAGAGACTTGTTATTCAAAATCTGACCTCCAGGATGGAAGCCAGAGTCCTGACTCTGTAGCACAGGCCTTGAGGGACTTTGGCCAAGTCCTGAAGGCAGAGAAAGCATCTCAGTCAGTGGCCTTTTAAATGCAAGCAAAGGAAGCATTGGAATGACTTTGTGAAAGAATCCAACCATCATGCAACCCACCCTGGGGAGTGCAGCCAGGCCTGAGTGAAGCCAGCTTGGGGAGACAGAGCCAGTGTTGAGCCCTCGTCTCAGGCCACCTACT